ATGCAGACAGCACCGACTAGCAATCTTGAAAACAACAAATCTGCCCCATTGGGATTCATTTAAGTGGACTGTAGCCAACTAATTTTGAGGTAATGCAATGATACCTGGGGAAGTAGAATTAGATAACAGCAAAGACGGTGCACATAGAGAGGTGCATGCCACAGTAATCAGATTTGAGGTGACAGAGGAAGTTCTCAGAGTAGAAAGGAAGTTTTTCAAGGAAATATATAGAGAGGCATGTGAGAGTTAAGATTTGGGTAACAGACACAGTGTACCAAAAGACGGTCATGATATTTATGCATTTTTCTGTTTCCATTCATAATCCCTTTCCTAAAAGATAAGACGTAAATCTGAAAATAATGAATAAGAGAATAAGAACAAAGAAAAATTTTGGTAGGAAAATATAACCTAATTCAGGCTTAGAGAAAATAAAAAAGGGAGGCTGTAAAATTTTTTGTAGTGTTACTGGAAACATGCTTCATATTTGTCAGTGGGCTGCCTAACAAATAGCAAAGAAACCAGAGATAGAAAAGTAATGCAATCAGCAGCAATATTCCAGTTGTTCATAAGTTGAGAAAAGCAATACTTCAGAAAAGGTGATTAATAAATTAAGAATTAAGGAGAAAACCATGTAAGGAGCTGACAAAATAAAGTACTGAGACACTAAAAAAGTGAGATGTACAAGACATTAAATTGAAGATAAAGATTATAAAAGTAGTATTTATGGAAGATCATCGTATTTCACTAATAAGATATTAGTAGTGAACTTACAGAAAATAGAATCAGTTCAACAATTAAGCAAAAGCCAGATTGTAAAGAATTTAGGAAGGAAAGAGTGGAGCGAAAGAAGAAAATATGAGAGAACTCCAGAGGAAAATTCAAGGAAAATAAAAGAATCAGGAAGCCATGGTTCTCAATTGAAACATAAAGACTGCTATTATTATTATTTTTTTAATTTTTGAAACTATCAAGAAGAATAAGCATAGGTATTGCATTCAATAGAAAGAAGACATTTTAAAAAGAGGGAATCAATTGAAGAATGATGGAAAGAAGAAAGGAAATCAGGAAAGAAATTTTATTTTTAAAGTCCAATAGTATCTGGCCCCACATCATGGGCAGGAGGGGGAACAATCAGCTTTGCATCTCATGAATATTTGAAATAAATAGATAGATGCTAGAGAGATAAAAAGATAAAGTCCAATAGTTCCCAATAGTATCTGGCCCCACATCATGGGCAGGAGGGGGAACAATCAGCTTTGCATTTCATGAATATTTGAAATAAATAGATAGATGCTAGAGAGATAAAAAGATAAAGTCCAATAGTTACTAGTCAATTCATTTTTTTTGAACTATGTATTTTCTGTTTCTCCAAAAGAGATAGCCTGAATGAAATCCAGAATAAAGCCTTTTTTTAATATATGCAAAATTGGTTTAAATAAAAAGTAAATTTCAATGTCCCACAAAACATGTTATCTGTAAATAACATAAATGCTGACAATGGTAATTGGTACTTGTATATTTCAGGAAGGGATTAATTACCAGCAGTTTAAATTCTCCATGTAAGAAAAGCTTTATTTTTGAAAGATAAAATATACTTTTGCTTTCCTCCTCAATTATAAACAAAGCCAGGTGTGAAATAGAGCAATCTTGACAGTGAGAAATGATATGGTACTATTAGACTTTCATTCTGAGCTGAGAACAGAAGAATCAATTCCATTAGGAGAATTATCTGTGCACCTGGTCACTTATATTCAAATGTTGAATTATCCTAACGTTAAGCATAATTTGTTATTTATTTCTTATGGTATAAAATCACATTAAATAAGTCAATCATTTTGTCATCTGTATCCAAAATAGAGAGATAGAGCCAATTCTCATGTGAAATATGATCATAAATATGTCTGAGGTCAAAATATGATCTACTTTTTCCCCATTCTGAACAATCATTATTATTATCACAACATATTGGTATTTTTTTTAGTCTCTCATGCCAATTACTATGTGAGAATCTTGTAAAAGAAAGTGTAGAATAAATGTATGCTAAACATGTCCTAGGACTCAAATTTTAATGGTCAGGAGAAAACAAGCACAAAAATATCACAAAACAAAATAAATACAACATTTAAAATAAAATCGTAAAATAATTTAATAGCTTCTTAAAATATATAATATTTATTGATTACATATTATTTTCCCAGAACTGGACTGGATATTATGCATAACACAAAAGAAAAATGTATAGCTTGGTTTTTAACTTCAAGATGCTCATTATTTCAGTGGAAAGATAAGAAAGAAGGGAAGAAGACAGACAGGAATATAAAACAGCCAATTAAAAATGTGACCACATGTTTTTCATAGACAATATATTCTAGACACAGAAAGAAGAAATAAGTAGAAGGCAATAAGACAACAAGGAAATATTTGAGCTAGTAGGAGTCAAAGAACATCTAAGATTTCTAGAGATGAAGAGGGTAAAGTGCAATCTAAGTAGAAGAAAGAAAATGAATAAAGGTTTATGATGTACAGGTTTTCAGTGGTCTGGTGAAGCTTGTGGACCCCATGTCAGAACGTTTTTAAAAGTACAAAAACAGAAAAAAAGTGAAAAAAAAGTATACATAGACAAGAAAATAAATTTGTTGAAATATAGTTATTGAAAGTAGAAAAAAACAATTTTGGATGAAATGGTACATGTGCTTATTTATTTATTTATTTATTTTTTTATGGCACAAAATTCAAACTTTACTTAATGAGGTATTTTAGTCTCTATTGTCATCCCCTTTTATACTGGAAAAACTTGAGGATTTAGACTCCAAAGAAAGGATTTATTAATGTACTTGATAACAAAATGGAGCAGTGGTTCTTGGCTTTTGGCATTTATCCCTTATGTACAAATCTCGTTAGTTCTAATCTAGTCCCCAATCTCAAAATAATAAAACTATGAAGATGTCTTCTGTTCTTAAACTATCTTTGGAGTTTCCCAGGCAGCTGCTGAGTCACACCAAGGGCTTGTTCCCATACGTTTTTTTCTGGCAGACCCCAGATTTTAATGAACACATCATAGAGAGCTGTCCTGTTTCTCCAACCCACAGTAGGAGGACAACTTGCAAATCAAAAGGAGGCTCAAGTTCCATAGGTTAGATAAATGTAAGTAAAATTTTATTAGTATAGATATGGTTTAACTATTGTGTACTTTTTAAGGTTAGAGAAAAGCCCATTAATATTCCTATACTGAACTGGCACAATAACTGTTAAAAACTTGATTCTTTCGATCAAGAAGAATTTTTTTTTTGTCCCAGTTTGAATACCTTTGTCATACTGAATACCAGCAGTGAACAACTGGTGACAACCATGCATACATTTTATGAAAAATATTAGAAGAACCTAGAGATTTGTCAATATCCTTACTCTCCATGATCTATTTTTATCCTCAGAGTAATTTTTGGTTAAATGTTTACAAATGATTATATAAATGACTCTGCTTCCAACCATTATCATTTAATGGTAATTATCATAGGTTAATCAAAGCCATTTACCCTTAACATCTAAAGATGGTTTCTGACTTTTTCATATGGTTACCTAAAGTCCTCAGCTACAAGCAGAAATGGAGATTTCTGCAAAAAAAACATTTTAAAGGCATCAGTAGAAGGACTGCATCAGATATTTCTTATTTAAAAAAAAAAAAAAATTTGGTGACTGGCCAGTACAGGGACCCTACCCTTGGACCTTGGTATTACAAAATCATGCCCTAACCAACTAAGTAACCATCCAGCTCTGTATCAGGTATTTCTGACTGATACCACTGGGAATAGCATTATTAATATAGATTTCCCTGTATTAGCTGACAATGTCACCTCCAACAGATACCTGTCAGACTGTAAAAAGGGACAGAAAATTTCCAGGACTCAAGACTCTTTGAGCCTAGAAACAGATGACTTTGTGAATGTAAACTGCTTAATCCAACACCAGCAAAAAAAAAAAAAAAAAAAAAGAGCAGTGGGTCCAATGACTCCCATGATTGAATTAGTAGAGGTTTTCAAAGCCTGAACGTAAGTGATATGTTTTGAGATATCTGCAACAACTTTACTGCGATATGAATATGCCTATTATTTCTATTAGAGACAAATTCATAGTTGCTACCAATAAGCTCTGTGGTCTGTGGCTATGGTATACATCCACAATGAAAAGAAACACTAATTTTTAGTTAGAAGTTAAAGAAAATAAAGGTGTAATATTTTCCCCAGCAAGTTTATGGACCCCTTTAATTATATCCATGGACCTATAAGTGTCCAGTAGGCTCAGACTAAGAGTCCTGAGAAGATGGTGGTAAGCCTTCATTCTTTAAGCACCTAATGGGTATGAAGCACAGTAACAAGTGCTTCCTGTTCTTGCAACACACTCTAAGGGAAAAATTGTTATAATGGGCATTGTTATTTGGAAAATGGGAAAACTGAGGCTCAAGATATTTTATATACCTTGCCTAGGGTCACATACATAATGAACACCAGCTGCAGGATTAGAGTTTGCATGTCAGATTCCAAAGCCTTTGTTTGCTTTTCCCACTGTGAAATACCACCTAAAGAATGAGCAGAATGTTTTATATGTGCAGTTAAAAGACAAACACAGCCAGGACAAGTTGTTTTCAAGAGTAGTAGAAATAACAGTTGGAAATGTTGGGCAAGGCCAGACTTTGGAGGACTAAAAAAAGCATGCACAGATGAATAAAGTGAATGCTTTGGAGCATACAAGACAAAGTTCATAGGGTGTATGATAATAAAGGCAATGTTTAAGGAAAAAAATAATCTGATGGCAACGATTAAATGGATTGCGACAGTAAGGATTGTTGCAATATTTTTTCTCCAGAAGATTTTGGAATGGCACATTATGATTAAATGACTTACCTAAAATTAATTGAATCTTTTTATTAATTTTCTAAAGGTGTTCAGGAGTTTTTTCTCAATATCATTCTTGAATATAGCAAGATACACAAAACACCTACTTACCAACACTTGTGCAACTTTCACCGTCCACATCCAGCTTCCAACCTTCATAACACGAGCACTTGACTGTGTGTTTATGCTGCTCACACACTTGACTGCACTTCATATGATTGCTGCAATAATCCACAATTTCACACGTTTTATTGTCTCTGTTGAGCTGAAGTCCTTCAGGGCAGGAACAGACAATTCCTCTTCCAGGAACAACAGAACAGTGGTTGCTACAGCCTCCATTGTTCAGTGAACATTCATCTATGAAAGGAGGGGAACAAATCATGGGTCATATCAATTGCTTTCCTCAGTTAAATACTAATCATTGAATTTGACTCTCTAAACCTGGAATTAGAGTCAGGATATTATAAATGAATGTAAGAAAGCCATCTTTGAATTTTTTTTTTTTTTTGGGGGGGGGGATTAGAGTAAGAATGATAACAGACAAAATTTAATTCTGTATGATCAGAATTGTGAATAGAAGATTTTGATTTCTATAAAACTTTGGAGTATAGTGTGCTTTATCCAATAAACATTAAATGAGTTCAATGTTTCTGTTATGACTGGACAGATTACGCTGGGCCTTTTAGCATCGCTACAAAATCAGATGTTGATTTCTTCCAAAAGGGATGCACACACATTGATAATCTGAATGTTTGACTTACCTCAATGTTTATAAATAAACAAGTGTGTGTGTGTGTATATATGTATATATATCTTTACACACACACACACATATATGCACAATATCTATATATCTTTTTCTACCTCTACAATCTGATCTACAGTGATAATGCACTCATATATGCAAAAGGAATTACTTTGCCTGCAGGCAGTTATTTTTTTAATTTAGGTAAATTGGAAATAGTGCCCTCTATATTGGTTATTACAATTAATTCAGTGGGGCCATGAAAACATAACAGACAATGCACTAAAAAGGGAAAAGAAAAAGAAGTTGCCATGGCATTTTGGCTGAAATAATGAGCAGCTAGTCCTGACTGAATAGATAATATGATTAGATTATGAAGAAAGAGACCTTGTTTTCAAAGCACTTGTATATATATATATAATACATTTTACATATATTTCTTTATGATTTTGCTTCATCACCAAATTGTAAGCTCCATGAGGATATAGAAAATATCTGTTCTGTTTATCAGTGTATATACCCAATAGTTAACAAGGGTCCAGCATTGAGTAAGCAGTTCAAAATATATGATGATAAAAAAAAAATAGCAAAATTACCTATTATCACACAACTGTCCCGAAATTGAGCCAGTATTGTCTATTTGGGGAAATTTCAATATGATATACCTATGCCCTTGAGGAAAATAGCAGATAATTGTTTTTGCAACCATACTATCAACTACCACTGTAATTAGTCCAAAAGAAGCTTTGTCTTTGCTTTGAAAATATTTTTGAATGGGTTTTTCAAAGCCTGTTTATGTGTTTTGAGATGTGCAAAAAAGACTGTTGTCTAATAATTGGTAAATTGCATGAGTATTTGCATATATATAGTGGTCCTCCCTTATCTGTGATTTTGCTTTCCATTGTTACAGTTATCCGCAGTCAACTGTGGTCCAAAAATATTAAATGGAAAATTCTAGAAATAAGCACAAGCTTTAAATTACACACCATTCAGCTCCTTTCAGCTCAGTCCTATCTGGGACATGAGTCATCTCTTTGTTCAACATATCCACACTGTATATGTTACCTGCCTGTTAGTCAATTAGTTGCCGTCTTGGTTATCAGATCCACTGTCATGTATAGTGTAGAAGGGGTTGGTATTATTTGCGGTTTCAGGAATCCACTGAGGGTCTTGGAACATGTCCCCCATGGGGGTGAGGGAGACAATTGTACTTCAAATATTTCCTGCTGTCTATGGAAATTTATCTACTTGAAAAATTGTGCTAAAATGTAAGGCTTTTAAAAACATCTCTGCATTATGAAGAAGGGTCAACTCTTCTTCATAATATTTGTCATCATCAAAGAGGTTACAGTAATAAAAAAAAGTAAAATGATTGTATTAACTTTTAAAAATCCAATTCAAGTTTGTATTATTTTAGAAGGGAAAAAAATAGATTCATTTTTTGGTTCCTCCAAATATGTTTGCTCACCCGTAACCATAATCCTTTCAAAACAGCAGTCATTTCAAAGTATTTGCCCCTTTTTAGTTCAATTGGCATTCTTTTTCAGGAGAATTACTGTAAAGAAATGTCACTGTGCTCAGCAGGTGAAAAAAAGAATTTTTATAACGCTTTTAGCATATTTCAAATATCACTCAGTATTGAAGTGTCTTTTCCTGATAAAAAGGTGGAATTCAGTCAAAAATTTTGGGATAAACAAAATTCTCACTGAAATTAAATATATAAATTTAATGACCATGTTCTCATAGCTAGTCCCGTATCAATTCTTCCTTAACCCTAAACCTGTCATTGATCCTGCAACTTCTTTTAAAATTTTTTATTACCTGACAGACATGCTCCTTAACGAAACTAGTCAGGTTCCTCTGAGCCCTCTTCTTGACTATGTTCTCAACCTCGGCCTATAAAAACTGCAGACTCTGAGCACAAAGATTTCATCAAACCCCCCCAACCCCACACATACATACTATGAGACTTGAGCAAACACACTAGCATATTGTCTAACAGTTTAAGCCCACAACCCTAGAATGACCCCAGATCCCTGTAAAGTGCCTGTCTAAGACAGCTCTGTGTTGCCAGGAGAGTCTACTGCTTGTTTCAGCCAAAACCTGGTAATAGGTAAATGGGCCCTGAAGCCTCTCTTAGAGCAGTTACTTTAGAAAGCTTGTAATTATAAATAATTCCTCTGTTTCTTTGAGGTGTAAATTTTCTATCACTCAGAACTATCTTGTCAAGGATCTGAGAGCTTAATCTTTGAAATGCAAACATTCAAGAAGATTACTCTCACTCTCCCTCCCAGCCCTGTGGGCACCTTGCTCTGACTTGTTGCTACTGCCTCCTGCCATAAAGATACCAGTTTATTTGTCCACCCAGATGGCTTAGTCACACGGACAAATCCCCCTTAAGACTCCATAGAACATTTTCCTTAGTACACACTAGCCTTTAAAAAGTTTCCAGTCTTTTGTTTGGCAAAATTGAGTTCAGTTCATGCTGGACACGCTTTCCTATTAGAATAGTTATTACTGAATAAAATCTATCCTTACTGCTTTAACTAGTGTCCAGCTTTGTTTATCCTTTATATACCCTTACAGCAAGGATCAACACTTAACTCCATTCTTGATTGATTCAAGCTTCTTTTCATTTGTTTGTTAAGTGCATATCTTTTTCTTCTTGAAATCATTTAAAAATCCCCTGAATATATAATCTCTTCATTAGGATTAGAAGATTTTTATTCTTGGGTTCTCTTTTTCCTTATATACATTGTATCTAACCTTAGAAGGCGATTCAGTCCCTTGACCAGCATTTGTTTTTGGCTTTCCTTGTTCTAACTCTCCCTTAACTTCACTTCTATGTACATGTAGTTCCATATGCCACAGTGGTGCAAGAACTGTCTATCTTCTCTTGTACTTCCACATCCAGCTTCCTGTAACATCTCCCACTCTCTGTAATCCTTTAAAATGTTTGAAGATAAGTAAGAAGTGGTTTTCAACTTTGAAGCAGACAAAAAAATAAATAAATTCAGAGGAATTCCCCCTTTCTTCTTTTACCTTCCTAATTCAGAAACTGGAGGAAAAGAAAATAAGGCTGTTTTTTATCATTTCCTTCATTTTTCTTAATGAGTCTATTTCCTTTTGTTTACTTTGTGTAACTCGAGGGATGGGGTAAAGTTGAAAAAGCACTAATGTTTTCTAATAACTGTGGTGCATCAGGCATTATTACCATGATCATACCCGATAGATATTATTGCCTCCATTTTAATTATGTGAAAACTGACATCTTAAGAAATTAAGTCACCTGCTCCAGTGACTTAATTAGAATAACTGAAAAATAGAATTTAAACTTGTTGAAGTCTAGACTCTTACACACTTTCTCTTTTAAGAGTATTGATAGTTTTCTTCTTTTAGAATTGCACTGACAACTTTCATGAGCAAGACACTCACCAACCTACTCCATTAGAGATAACAAGGTGGAAAAGAAAGAAGTGAATACAGAAAAAATGAAGCCTGTCACCTTTCATTTGTAAGATTTTTTGCTGTTTAATTTTAATTTACTTTTTTTTAATCTGAATCTTTTTGTTAAAATTTTAGCCTCACTGAACGAAGACTGTTGCATTTACTATATCAAGGTTATTTTATAAAATCACCAACTCTTGGGAGAAAGGATGCTTTATTGCATAAATTTTCAAAAGAATAATAGTTCTTTTTTTTTTTCGTATCACTCAATATGCTAGTAATGCTCAGCTGAGATCTAAATATGATAACTTTAGGCTTAAAGGTAGTTGTCTTTCCTACTTTCTATCAGTCAACCTCATCATTTCCTAAAGTCATTTTCTCACAGCCTCCAGTCTCTCATTATTGTTCTTATCATTCTGTAAACTATTCTTCATCACTCAACTGATGTCACCTTCAGTATTATCTAGAAAACATATTTGTTAAAAACTCCTTGCTAAGTCTCTGATCTTCCCACAAAGAAATGTAATTTTCTTTTACATGTGTCTAGTCGAAGTGATTTCAAAACTTATTGAAATCATCATTTTAACTAGAGAAAGCATATTAAAGAAAGCTATTGTATGAGGTCTAAAAACTAGAGAGAAAAATATATCAAATTGGATAATATCCAATTAGCTTCATTTTCCCGTCTCTTTTTTTCCCTTTTTTCTAAAAAACAGTTTTACTGTAATAATTAGAAGGCATATCAAAATCCTTAAGGTGGTAGTAAACTTCATCCCGCAGGTCAATAATAACAAGGTTCCCCTGTTCTGAATGACTGGCTGACAACAAATGATTAGTTCAGTTGTAGGAACAACACTGACCATACAGAGATCGAAATGATGAGTTCTACCTTTGTGAAGTGAGCCAGATGCAGGTTAGCTTTTTCTGTTTGGCTTTCGGAAATTTCTGTTCAGAATTAAAACTCTTTCTATAGATTTACAGTGCCTGAAAAATGTAGATAAAGTTCATGCTAAAACTTACATTTAAAGAGAATGAATGGAAGGAGAGAATGCTACTATAATAAATAACAGCAATCAGACTAAAAAGGTCTAGTTTCCAGAAAGAAGCAAATGCAGTTAAAAGTGCAATACCACAGAGATCGCCTTCATCAGAGCCATCAGGACAATCCCTTTGCCCATTGCAGAGTTTCTCTGGCTGCAGGCAGACTGAAGTATCATTAGCACAAGGGTACTTGGGTGGTCCACACAAGAAACTGTCACAGTTGTCTTCATCTGATTGATCTTCGCAGTCAATATCACCATCACATACCCATGCTTTGTTGATGCATCTCCCTTAAGAAAACAGAAACAACACGCATTTGCTTTTTGTAATTGGATCACAGTAATAATCGGTGACCATTATTGTCTTTAGTCAGAGGCAGAATTACTTGCTATTGGTAACTAATCTATCTGCTGATAGTTTGTTTGATAGTGTATTTTCATGACAGCATTTGAAAACTTCTTGTCCTGGTTTTTAGTGTTCTTAGTGTTTTAATCTTGATAATTGCTTTACTTTCAAGTTATGCTCCCAATCTTTGAAAAAAAAAAGTTTCTGTGACTAATGGAAAGTTTAATTACAATACTTTCAGAAGTAAACTTTAAAGATACATTTGTACATCAGTGACTTTCAGAGATAGTCTGAAAATTTATCTAAATTTACATAAAGGCTTTATTTTAGCAGGAAAGTTGTCCTAGTTGCATATATAATCTTAACACCTCAGCTCCTCATACCAGATGTACATACATGCCCTTTCATAAAATAATATCAAGTGTTATTAACCATTTTGGTAGCTAACATATGTACACACAGAATTTATAGAAATGTGTTTTTTATGTTGTCTTTAAAAGAAAAAAATAAAATGATTATTATTTAGCCAGAATGTTTCAAAAGTAACAGCGTGAAACACGTACAGAACAGTGGTCATTGCTGTCTATGTAAATCTCCTTTTCACTGTAAATTATTCCTCCTTTCCACATTGTTTTCATTTTTCTTCCAGTTACCTTTTCTGGATTACACAATGTTAAGGTTTAACATGAGTAAAAAAGTAACTAAGGATAAATACTGGTTATTGGCTGACAACATACCAGCATCTCATAAGATGAGTGGGGTTAATAAAAAGAAAATGAAAAATATGAGATTGTATATGTCCAAAAGTCATTATGTATTTAAATGTTTTCTTAAAGATTAAAAGATACTAATTTTTTAAAAAATTAAAATATTGGTGCAAAAGTGTTTCATTTCTAAATATATTAATAAATCTCCATGCTATTGTCATTCATCAAATAAAAAATACATGGTCAAGTTCCATAGTTAATAAAATTACATTTGATGGTATTCAACATTAATTATTGATAAAAATACTCCTAAAATAAGAATTGACAGATACTTCACTAAGAGATTTGATATAAATAAAAAACATTATAAAATTTTGCCTTAACACCATGAATAAAACTATTAATGTCATTATTTTATATTGTTCTGAAAATACTATCTAAGGCAATTAGATAACAGAAATAAATGAGGTATAGCATGAGAAAAGAGTATCATTATGTACAGCTAATATAATCATATAATTATAAAATAAATTAAAACTAAATAAAAACTACAAGTAACTAAGAATTTGGAATATTGGTAGCTAGTTTCAAAACCTATTAAAAAATTAATAGATTATATATATACAAAGAACATGTGATAGAAGGAAAGACCAATTAAAAAATTCCACCATAAAGTAAAGTATTTTGGGTTAAATTGCACAAGAATCAGAGTTGTATAACATTTATATGAAGAAAATTTACACATCCATAAGGAAACTCAGAAGAAGCCTTATACAAAGATATTGTCTGGTCTTCAAGAGGATAACTTATTACTATAAAGAAATTAATATTCCCTAAACTAACACAATCTTTCCAAAATAGTAACAATATTATTGCAATCCTACAAGCTTATCTTAAATTAAAAAAAAAAAAAAAAGCACTAGGAGTCTTTAAGAAAAAGGAATCTTGATAAGTAGGAACTGTATATGCCAAATATTTATGATTAAAGTAACAGTAGTTAAAATATTTTTAACATACCAATAGATACCAATAAACATACCAATAGTTAAATAGCATAGAGACATTGGAAACAGGCCCATTTATGTATGCGGTTTTAAGATGCTTAAAGTTGGCAATAGAAATAGTAGAGAAAAAAGTTAATTACAAAATTAATGATGTAGAATCACTGATTAGGCCTCTGGAGGAGAGAAAATAAAGCTGAATCTCTACTTGACTTCTTACAACATAATAAATCCTAGATGGATCAAAGAAGTGAGCATTTGTAAGTAACAATGATAAAAATAAAAACATTCTAGAAAAGAAAAGATATTAAAAAAAACCCCACAACTTTAAATGATCATTACACAAACCCAGAAACCATGAAAGACAAATTGATAAACTTAATTTCATAAATATTTTTTATCCCATATTCAACAATAAAATTCATATATACAAAGTCAGTGGACAGTCAATAAACTAGAAAAAATATTTCATTACATTTGACAAAAAGGGCATTTTTTTCTTGAAATACAAAGGGTTCTTTCAAATCAATAAGATAAATTAAACAATACATGTGCAGGATTCATAACAAAATAGTAATGGATTACAAACATAAGATGTTCCATATCTCATTCGGTTAAATAAAAGTAATATAAAGCAACAATTTGACACCATTTCTCCTCTGTTAAATAAATCAAAAAGTTGAATAATATAAAGGTATATTTGACAAGGGTTTATAAACAGCTCAAATGTTGAGGGGGCTAGAAGTTGTTATAACCTCTCTGTAGGGGGCACTGTTAAGAAATACATCAACTCTTCACCACAGTGATACTAACTGTAGAAATTTATTTAATGAATCTACTTGCACAAATGCACAAAGATGCATATGCAAGGATATATATTGCTACTTTGTATATATTAGGGAAAGACTGGTAACAATTTAAATCATCATTGGGAGACTAGTGACATCAATTACAAAGCAACCATTCATTGAAATTATATGCTTGAGTGAAAGAGAACAAGGTAATCTGCATAAGTTAATAAAAAACAATCTTCAAAAGTATAAATTAAAAAAGACATGTGGCCGGTTGGCTCAGTTGGTTGGAGTGCAGCTTTGTAACACCAAGGTCAAAGGTTTGATTCCCCATGCTGGCCAGCCACCAAAAAATAAACAAATAAATAAAGAAGACATAGAACTGAGTGCATGTAGTCTTTCTTAAATGCTAAAAGGGATTTAACTATTTATCAATAGTTATGATTATATTTCCACACATATATCAATATAAGTACACAGATAGCTTGTCTATAGATAAATTCTTTCTGGAGGGCTACAGAAGAAATAGTTAAAAGTGATTGCTTCTGGAGAGGAGGAATGAGATACTGGAAACCTGGAGCAGAAAGGAGATAAATTTCACTGAGTACTCTTGTGCTGCTTAATTTTCTTTCTATAATATATCTGCATAATTTTTCCAAAATATAGTAGCTCATTTTAAAAAATGATGAGAATGAAATGTACACACATACATGAAGTCCAATAAATTCATACAGTTTTTCCTACTATAAAAACTATATGCTGAGGTTACTCTGTCTTAACACTTTACAAGGAGCTTTAGGAAATACAAGAAAGCCATAAAACCTGCTCCCTGTCATCAGGAGCTTATAATCTATTTAGCAAGACAAGATCAATGCACAATGTATAATTGTAGTCTAAAACATGACATATTGTAGTTAAGTATTAAATTTATGGGGTCATCTGAAAGTATAATAAAATGAATGGAGAGTTCAAAAATGATATAATAATTTCCATTTTTAGTTTGTTTAATCAAAATGCAACTTCCTTTTTTCCCCAGACGTCACTAATCCATCATGACATTCCTAACTATTGACTCCAGAATGACTTTAGAATTGTTTCAACAAACTCATCCATACATCACTATAATCTTTTAAAGTTAGAACAACAGTAAAGCTATTGAAAAGGATTTAAGTCATCCCTGACTTAAATGCCACCTGGAAAAGGTAAAAAAAAAATAAATAAATAAATAAATAAATAAAAAATTCAGATGAGTCAATCTTTAAGGCAGATTATGTCACCATGATATGAATAAATATGAATACATAGCTTAGATAAAATTTACAAGTTTAAATAGCCCCCTTGTCCCACTGATTTTGCAAGGGATGTTTGAAGCTTAATTGCTTCTCCCATTCTTATTTGTTTTTAATTCTTAGCAAAATGTAGATAAGAGGGTGACCAGGTATGATAAATTTAATTAAATTTCTAACTCATGACCATTAATTGGCTAAAACCCCAAAGCAAATGACTTTAGTAAACACGCTTAGAGGATGTTGATTTTTACTTGATTCTTATCAAGACAAATCCCTACCCAGTCAAGTCATTGGAAATAAAATCTTGAATGAACTAACTTTTTGTTTTGTTTTTGGTGGCTGGCCAGAATAGGAATCTGAACCCTTGACCTTGGTGTTATAAGGCTGTGCTCTAACCAACTGAGTTAACCAGCCAGCCCTTGAATGAATGAAATAATATTATAGATTACCTGTCTAAGCTTCCTCTTTTATGTACTAAAACCTACAGCCATAGTTCAAATTTGTCTTATTAAAATAATTACAGATTAATGATATTAAAATGTTTTACAGAAATTATATTCAATACATAAATAACAAAAAATCTTAAGAAATAAAGTTTTATATGTGGCACAATTAAATTTAAATAAACCAGGTAAATTACTTTATGTTTACTAAGTCTTTCTTAGAGTATGTTGAAAATAATATTAGATTATTATCAAGTTGAGTTCTACATAATACTTTATGATTTATTTATAATGATGTTTTCAACTTGAAACTATGTGTGCAAAACTCTATTATGATAATTGTAATTTTGCCCTTTGAGCAAAGAAAATAAGAGGGGGGGCTAATGCACAACAACAAAACCACAAAACAGAAATAACAAAAAGCAGCACGCTGGTACAATGACAGCTAGTACAATCACACACACACACACACACACACGAAATTATAAGGACTGCTTTGATTTGTGTTGCCCTGAGATATACTATTTAGGTGAAACACCACTAAAAAGTCAACAGCCATAGAAAAATTGAGTTTTTATAAATCTCTGGAAAATATGCTAGTTTCCCCAAATAAATTTATATGATCTCTTCTAGAATTTCTCTTTTTTTCTGTTTTTTAAAAATAGACATCTTTTGGGGCCGGCCCGGTGGCACACTGCTACAGTGCGCCACTTG